CCAAATTTGCCTGTCATTCGGAATATTTTGTCTAGCATTATTCAAAACTGCCTTAGCATTTTCATAGACTTCTAATTTTGCGAGAGCCAACCACATATCTACGCTTTGAGGACAACACTCAACAGCTCTTCCAAGCATAATTCGGGCCTCGTCTTCGTCCTCCAAGTCTACCGCAGTTTTCCACAGCTTCACTGAATTGGGAATATGTTCCAGAGCCTTCCTATATACCCTTTTCTTCGCCTTATTATCAGCTTCGAGATCTGCTGCTTTCAACCACAATTTAACGGACAATGGTAATTGCCGCACAGCTTGTGCTACTACCACTTTTCCGGTATCTCTAGGCTGTAATCTGATTGCTTCTAGCCAACAGTCTTCACTTTTTGGACAGGCCTCGGTTCCCTTCATTATTAAGTTTCTGGCCACTTGCAACTTACCAACAACCTCTTCCAACCTAGCTGAGGCTATCCAAGCAGGAGCATGACCTGGATTGGTATCGCGCACTGATTTCAACAACAACCTCGCTTTCTTCACGTCTTGTATATCGCCCCCATAGGCTGGCAACATAGATTGCAAATCAGTCAAGTATCCCTTCGGATCGACTGTGGTCTGTCCAGTAACGGAATCTGAAACCTGCTTCAATTTTATGTCAATCAGAGTGTTTCTTGCCTCGCCCACTTTCCTCAAATCGACGCTTGATGTTCCCAATGTTGAGAGCGTACCCGGAGTTGTAAGGCCTGCTTTTGGATCAACCGAAGATGTCGTCGCATCTTGACCGGCAGCACGCGCTAAAACCGAGTCCGGCAAAGGTGTCATTTGCTCTTGACGCAAACTGCGCTGCTTCCTATTTCGACTATCCCCCACTTCCGGTATATTTAACCACTCGTCGCTACTCACTTCGGCTAATTTGCGCTTCAAATCTGAAAACTGCTGCTGTATCTTGGGTCTTTCCTCTCGCACTTTCCTAACTTCTTCTTGAAAATTCAGCTCTCTTCGTTCTTTTCTTCTCTCGTCCAGTCGCCTGTCGATTGAATCATATATCATATCGGCCTCCTCATCGTCTTTCTCGTAAGGTGCATTTCCGAACAGACTGCCTCCATATCCATTGAACTCATCAAAATTAGCATCATTCAAATCTTCATTTTCATCTTCATCGTCGTCTTTCTAAAGCACAACAAAAAAAATTGATTTAAAAAGAGTAAACTATGTTCATATTCTTTAACACGCCAACAGAAAGCATTTATTTTACAGCTTCATGATTTATCTCAAGTTCTCTTTAACTGAGGGGCTGAGTTAAGATTTCCAATGAGTGGACTTTACAAGAGACCTTCATTTGGAAGAAAAACCTGAATGGCGAGCTGATAAAAAACAAGAAGCCAAACAGAAGCCGAAACAGCCAAAACAAGAAGCGAATATAAAAAATAAGCGTGTAAAAATTTCTATACTTTGAAATTTCAAAGTGTTTGAAAAAAATTAGTTGAACCAAATAAATGAAAAATTCAAGTCGCTAATAAAACCAGATAAGAATTTTCTTTTTTGTACCACAACAACACGATAATTAAAAAATAGTTGTAGAACTGATTAAAAAAAATTAACACTAAAAAACGGCATCTATCTCCAAATTTAATACATCAATAAAAACAATACAATAGATAAGAAAAAGGAATAGCAAGAAATGGCAAACAATTGTTACAGAACAACTAATCAGATCAAAAAATGGCAAAAAAAAACAATATTTGGAAGAGACTAACCTTAAAGCTACAATCCAAACGATGTCGAAGATTTTCTATAGTAATCTACTTTAACACATTCCGCTATAAATAAGACTGGACAAAACTAAGGAGTTCAATTCAATAGCACGTGCCGTTAACTGCATTTTATACCGTAAGATAACTATCTCGCACACCAGTTCGCTAAGACACAATAATTCCGTTTAAAAAGCTCAGCTTTTTGTCCAAACTAATGCCAAGATATCATGCGGATTCTTGAGTTTTCAGTTCTTCTTTTTCAAAAAAATATATTTAAAATATGATTGAGTTTTTGTCAAATCTGATTATATTTATGTCTCCATTAATCATAAGTTCATTCTCGGATAATTTCTGTAATCGTTTATGAGGATTCTTGTAAAATTGACTTCCCAACATGCAAATTCTTTTCCGCAAAAAGAGAAAATGTCTTATCCACGAATTGAACAGTTTGAACCTGATTTCCCAATTTACTCCCCAAAATTCGTTAATATACAATTTGAAAATTTTCATACCGAGCACTGTACCATGTGGTACCTCGTGATTTACTGCAAAACTCTAAGCTATCTGAGTTCCAAATCCAAAACCTTTTTCTGATTGGTACTTACTTCATGAAACTAATCCAATCAGAGAAAAATGGATCAATAGACAAAAAATAATTTCCGCTCGTAATTCTCAAAACTGACACCCACCTTCGAAAAAAGTCACGCGTTTGCTCGAGTTTCTCTTTCGTGATCTGAATTACATCAATTTAGTTCAACAAACCAAATTAAACTGAAAATAACAAAAATATGGCCAACAGAGAGGGTTGGAAAAGTGTCAAAGAACAAGAAAACAGCAAAAAGTTGCAAGAAAAATTTTGATTATATTATAACTTTTGGAAAAACTTTTTATTTCAGGTTAAAGCTCTTCGAAATAATCATGGTTTCCAATTTTTTTTTCTTCAAAATTACCCCAATCCAAGAAAACTGAACAAATAGTTAAGTTGTTCATACTGCTAATTCTAAAAATAAAATTCCCCTTTCGAAACCAAAATTATACCACTATTTCCGCTTGAATTGAACTCAACAAAAGCAAAAAGACCTAAAAACGTTTATAAATGCACTAAGACATAAGATAGACTTCTGTAGTTATTAGAGCATTTGCAGTTTTTTTTTAGAAAAAACCAATTAACAAATTATCACATCTTTCTTCAACACAAAATCAAAAACGAAATTGAGAAAAACCGCAATTAATTAAAAAACACAAAAAGCCACATGACCTAAATAAGTAAAATATCGTTTCATTCATCATTTAATAAGTCCATCGCTTACTGTAAATCACAATTAAAACGAGTGTAACTGTAATTGCTTATGAAAGTTTTAAAAACCAAAAAGAAAACATTTTCAAATGAATTGGAACATCAACCAAAAACTGCAAAATTACAATGTGCAGCAGAGTATACAACAAATAGGTGAAATTCCAAAAACGTGCCACACTTCAATACGTTCGTCACACTTAAAAACCTGACAAAATCTAATGAAAATGAATGATATCCTTTCAAAAATTTTGAGGCAGACTTGTTTGCTTACGCGAAAAATGAGATTTTCAATATGCAAAGACACTGTTGACTAGGGTGAATTTAAAAAACTCAAAACAAATAAAACAGCGGCTATAAAAAAAAACAAATGTGAATCGTGAATCAATGAGCTCAAAAACATTAGAAAAGAACAGAATTGCAATTTCATTAGAAACAATCGCAAAGATTTTAGATCATGTGAACTAATTTTCATCTAGGCTAATCAAGTTATTCACACGGAGGCCAAACTGCGCTTCGCAAACACTCGCGAGAACACGATAAAAAAGAAGCTCTATCAAATGATATAAGAAAAAAAAGAGAAATAAGCCTCGAATTAGCTAAAATTCGGCCCGATCTAGGGTTCGAATCTGCTACCTAGCAAATGAGTCCCATTCACTAGCCACGGATGCTTAAGATCCGCAAAAATTAGCACCCACAACGCAGCTACATATGCTTAAAGATAGCTAATTCGCTATCTTTAAGCAGCAAAAGTAGCACCAAATACAAAAAAAAACACAATTTTGCATGTAATAAATTGGAAAGCATAAAGCCAAATTATGTATAAATTATGCATTTCAAAGAATTGCAAGCTACATTGAATTGGAAAAATTCTGTCAAGGCAGATGATTTTATACTGCTACCGCAGCCTACCGATTTAATAGTGCCAGCTCTTTTATTTGCTACTTAATTGAAAAAAAAAGAAAGTTCGTACTAATACACTTTGCTTCGCAAGAGTAATCAACTTCCGAAACAAGAGATCGATCACGTCTTTCGTACCCTTTACACTTTTGCTGTTCGGTAGTGGAAGCTGCCTTTCTGCTGACAAAGGAACTGAAATGAACTTGAAAATAAATCAAAAGCGAAACCGGTAAAAGTCTTAAAATTTGTCAAAAATTTCTAGTGAGTGATTTGGTTGCTCTGAAAAACAAATTGGCAACTAATCCCACAAAAACTAAATCAAAAGCGACGAAAAGAAAATTAAATCACATAACTTATGAGAAACTTGGCCAAAACAATGTAAAATTTCTCAAAGAGCTCAGAAAAAAACAACTAAATAATTGCTAAATCACTTCGTTTATTAAGAAGTAAGGAGACCAAACTGCTGGCCTCAATTCAATTGGGAATGATAGCTGAACCAGACTAACTGACTGTCTACGCCACGCGAAAACTGAAGACTGTTAAACAATCATTATCTTTCAGATGTATGCAAAAAAAATCTGTCTAGAGCAACTTAAGAGTCTGTATTAACATCCTCAGCAGCAATTTCGAATTTCAAATTTCAGAGAAAAAAGATCGCCTTAAAGCTCTTTTAATTTTAAGAACAATTAATGATTGACACTTAGAGGATAAAATTTAGAAAACTGGATCAAAAGGTACAGAACATTTTTCATTTCGCTAGGAAATCTGATAATTAAATCCACTTTTGAAATTAGTAGTCGATCACGTTTTTCGTGATATTTACACTTTCGATGTTCGATAGAGGAATGTGCCTTCCTCTTTATTCCTTTTTACGAAGAAAAAAACTGACCTTAGAAAGAAATCATAAGTCACAGAAGTGAACACTTATATTTGCGAGTTAGGTTAGAAACAAAGAAGGTTCGCTCAAAAAACACTAGCTGCTTGCTAGCGTAAAAATAATTTAAGCCAAAAAGGTGAACCGGCCATTTAGCTACTGCAAGAACAGCTACTGGAAAAAAATCTGGCGACAATAATTAATTAATTCCGATAATCGAAATGACAAATACACTACAGAAAAGTTTCACGCAATGCGTAGCACAACTTTGTACTAATTGGAATTGTCCATTCCGCCTTCGCGCCTCTTGTAGACTTTTCCAACAGTTCCTCTTACCGTCCTCAAGTTTTTTGACAACTTTCAATCACTTCAGAGTTTTTCGATTGGTGGCAAGCTGTCGGCTACTAATTTCAAAACTTCACATGTGTCTTTTCGCCAATTTATAATATCTTTTGACACTTTACACCAGTACTCGCCGTGTCTAGGATCAGCTTTTTCACACCGCGCTTCAATTTCCTTTAACACCTCTTCCTTTCCATACTGTTTCTCAAATTTGTACAGATAAGCCCAACTGTCACCCAGATCGCTGTCCAGCTTTAAAGCCCTAGCGAACCAGTCACGACTTTTCTGGATTTTCCTGTCACACCAGAACAAAAGAGCAATACTCAAAACAACATGAGGGTCATGCTCGCATTTCTTCAGAGCGTCCAGACTTTTGGATTTCCGCTGGGGCCGACCCTCCATAAAAATTGCTTCGGACCAAAGCTTTCCGGCCGTAGGACATTCTTGCAAAGCCCGCGCCATTAGATTATGGCCAATTACATGATTACCATTTCTCATTTCGAGTCGAATAGCTTCCAACCATAGATCCGCATTTTGAGGATTCTTTAACCTGGCCTTTTCTAACAAAGCGCGGGCTCGTATGACATTTTTCAGGTTTTCCTCAAACCTGGACAAAAGGATCCAAAGTGTTATTGCATGTGGACATTTCTTCAGTCCATCGTTGTAAAGTTTTCTAGTTTCTTCAGTATTGTTTGATATCTGCTCTAATTGACCAAGCATCATCCACATTTTGTCGAAGTTTTCATACATCTTCACACCTTCTCGAGCTAGCCTCTTCGCTTCGTCAAACTCGCCCAGAGCCCATTCCAATTTTATTGACTTCATCAGTACTCGAGCTGTCATCGAGCTACTTCGTGCATTTTTCAGCAAGGTTCTCGCTCTTGAGAAATGCCCGTTTTCACTTTCCAGTTTCACCGCAGCTAGCCAAATTTTCTCACTGTTCGGGTTCGCTTTGAATGCAAGTGCTAGAATCTGGCGAGCGGCATTCACGTCATTAGCAAGCCACTTTGTCTTGGCACCCATTAACCATAGGTCCTCTGCTTTGGGACAATGTATAACTGCTTGTTGCAACAACGATTCCAAGGTCTCACGTGATCCTTTCGCGCGCTCGAAATGAGCGGCTTCCTCCCATATTCGTTGGTGACTGGGGAAAATATGAAGGGCGTGCATGTATATTGCTCTGGCGCATTCTATGGAACCCTTTGAGGTCATAGTCTCTGAATCATCTAGCCAGACATCTTCGCGATCTTGTTCGTCAACGTTCATTCCTATGACGTTCGATATTATAGCCTGACATGTTAAGATATTCCCAGCTTTCTCACAATTTTCCGCATCAGTCAGCCACTCTTCCCTTGAAACGTCAACTCTATGATTTCGCAGTGACTCTATAGATCTCTTGATGATCTTGTCTACATTCTCTCGGTTACCAGCCGTGTCTTCCAGCTTCGCAGCTGTGAGCCAAATTTGCCTGTCATTCGGAATATTTTGTCTAGCTTTATTCAAAACTGCCTTAGCATTTTCATAGCCTTCTAATTTTGCGAGAGCCAACCACATATCTACGCTTTGAGGACAACACTCAACAGCTCTTCCAAGCATAATTCGGGCCTCGTCTTCGTCCTCCAAGTCTACCGCAGTTTTCCACAGCTTCACTGAATTGGGAATATGTTCCAGAGCCTTCCTATATACCCTTTTCTTCGCCTTATTATCAGCTTCGAGATCTGCTGCTTTCAACCACAATTTAACGGACAATGGTAATTGCCGCACAGCTTGTGCTACTACCACTTTTCCGGTATCTCCAGGCTGTAATCTGATTGCTTCTAGCCAACAGTCTTCACTTTTTGGACAGGCCTCGGTTCCCTTCATTATTAAGTTTCTGGCCACTTGCAACTTACCAACAACCTCTTCCAACCTAGCTGAGGCTATCCAAGCAGGAGCATGACCTGGATTGGTATCGCGCACTGATTTCAACAACAACCTCGCTTTCTTCACGTCTTGTATATCGCCCCCATAGGCTGGCAACATAGATTGCAAATCAGTCAAGTATCCCTTCGGATCGACTGTGGTCTGTCCAGTAACGGAATCTGAAACCTGCTTCAATTTTATGTCAATCAGAGTGTTTCTTGCCTCGCCCACTTTCCTCAAATCGACGCTTGATGTTCCCAATGTTGAGAGCGTACCCGGAGTTGTAAGGCCTGCTTTTGGATCAACCGAAGATGTCGTCGCATCTTGACCGGCAGCACGCGCTAAAACCGAGTCCGGCAAAGGTGTCATTTGCTCTTGACGCAAACTGCGCTGCTTCCTATTTCGACTATCCCCCACTTCCGGTATATTTAACCACTCGTCGCTACTCACTTCGGCTAATTTGCGCTTCAAATCTGAAAACTGCTGCTGTATCTTGGGTCTTTCCTCTCGCACTTTCCTAACTTCTTCTTGAAACTTCAGCTCTCTTCGTTCTTTTCTTCTCTCGTCCAGTCGCCTGTCGATTGAATCATATATCATATCGGCCTCCTCATCGTCTTTCTCGTAAGGTGCATTTCCGAACAGACTGCCTCCATATCCATTGAACTCATCAAAATTAGCATCATTCAAATCTTCATTTTCATCTTCATCGTCGTCTTTCTAAAGCACAACAAAAAAAATTGATTTAAAAAGAGTAAACTATGTTCATATTCTTTAACACGCCAACAGAAAGCATTTATTTTACAGCTTCATGATTTATCTCAAGTTCTCTTTAACTGAGGGGCTGAGTTAAGATTTCCAATGAGTGGACTTTACAAGAGACCTTCATTTGGAAGAAAAACCTGAATGGCGAGCTGATAAAAAACAAGAAGCCAAACAGAAGCCGAAACAGCCAAAACAAGAAGCGAATATAAAAAATAAGCGTGTAAAAATTTCTATACTTTGAAATTTCAAAGTGTTTGAAAAAAATTAGTTGAACCAAATAAATGAAAAATTCAAGTCGCTAATAACACCAGATAAGAATTTTCTTTTTTGTACCACAACAACACGATAATTAAAAAATAGTGGTTGAACTGATTTAAAAAAAAATTAACACTAAAAAACGGCATCTATCTCCAAATTTAATACATCAATAAAAACAATACAATAGATAAGAAAAAGGAATAGCAAGAAATGGCAAACAATTGTTACAGAACATCTAATCAGATCAAAAAATGGCAAAAAAACAATATTTGGAAGAGACTAACCTTAAAGCTACAATCCAAACGATGTCGAAGAAACCCATCCAAAAAGAAACGTTTTTTTCTTCTTACGTTTAGTTTTAACTTGCATAAAAAGTTTCTAGTTTCACAGAACAAATTAAATTTCCGCAAAACTGTTTGAACCTCAAAAAACTTATAGTTATATTTTTTAATATAAACCTACCTCATTTCAGATACCACAACACTGATTGAACCCAAATCGGTTTTGAAAATTGTCGCTTATTTGGGCCACTTGAATTTGATAGAAAGTCATACGCTACGTCAAAAGTTTTTCGAAAATTACTAGAAAACAATCAAATTTTTTTCCTGGAAACCCTTCACTTCGCTCCCCAACAAATTGTTGCAAAGATTAGCTTTTACAGAATGATGAACTTTTTGAATAAAAACAAGATCCTTTGCGATAAACAGTTTGATTTTCGACCAAAACATTCCTGCACTCATACACTAATTGAATTCACTGAAACTTTGCAGAAAGAGTAAGAAACACACAACACAAGCTTGCTTCGTAGATCTAAGCAAAGCTTTTGATACAAAAATCATGAAAAATTGCTTCAAAAACTAGAAATAAACGGTTGTGGAAAAGTTTTAGACCCAATGAAAAGTTATTTATCCAAAAGATTTCAATAAGTAGATTAAAATAACTAAGTCAGAAAAAAAAATTAATTGAAAATGGTGTTCCGCAGGGATCGGTCTTGGTACCCATGTTGTTTCTAATATACATAAACGATTTGTCTTTACAACTTAATAAAAGGAAGTCAGTATTGTACGCGGATGACAACAATTTTTAGCAATGATCAAATAGAGTTTCAAAAAGCTTTAAAACAAAGTGAAAACTGGTTCGCTGATAACGGAGTAACATTCAATCCTAAAGAATGCAATTTAGTCTCTTTTGCTAATAATCAACTATCAGAAATAAATTATGCAAAGGAAACACTTTAAAATTCTTTAAAAACCAAATACCTTGGATTAATAATTGATAATAAACTGAATTTTGAAAGCCATACAGACAAAGAAAATAAAAAAGTGCGTTGGTTCAACGGCTTGTACAAAACCAGAAACTTTTTTAGCACCAAACAATTATTGATGTTTTATAACGCTTATGCAAAATCAATAATCGAGTATGCTATTCTAACATACGGTAGTGCATCAAAAACAGAATTGCAGTCAGTAAACCTTTTGCAAAAACGATTTATAAGGACAATTTTTCGGAAAAGCTATTGTGAATCAGTGCAAACATTAGCGATCCAGCACAAATTTTACTCAGTTTATGAATTGTACACTACATATCTTTTTAAAAATTTTGTCAAGTGAGGAAAACTTCACCTCTTAAACTGTTGACCATAAATGATGTTTCTCATGTAAGAACAACAAAGAGAACAACAGCGAACCTCTTACCGGCAATGGGGTTCAAAACAAAAATGATGGAAATGTCTCTCATACGACGAATAACGCAAGTTTGTAATTTTATTAGGAGTTATGATTTCATGCCACCAGATAGAAAAAATGACCCAATCTCAGTTTGAAAGAACTATATTTTTGACAATAGTCAAACTTTTGATATGCTTTTTAAAATAAATTGACACCTCAATTTCCAATTTGCTCTTCAATGTCACTTCTGGGCACACCGACCATGAGTTGAACTACTCTTAGATGTGCCATTCCAGGCAGTTGGATGTTTTGTATATGATTATTTGTATATAGAATGTGTTAAATGTTACTGGTAAATATATTTAAACTTAAACAGTTCTGATTGAGCCTGGCGCTTATTGTTAATTTTCAGAAAATAAGCGAGTACAAATTTGTGGTAGAAGCTGCGAAAAAAATCCAATAGCGGCCAAATTTATTTCGCTAGGCAAACCCTGTTTAACTTCCACTCAGGGATTTCGCTAATTGAAGAGTAGATTTATAATCACAAACGGGGTAATAATCGTTTTTCAATGTCAAATTTGTTCAAAAAATTTTTCAAATCCTAGGAGAATTTAAGGGGAAAAAAGTGTCCGAAAGAAAACATTGTTTCATATGACTGAAAGCATGATGATCGCAATATAAACCAAGTTGGAAACTTCTATGCTGAAAAAGTCATCTCGACTGCGTTCTATAGTTGAGTTGAATTTCTACAAATCGAGAGTTCTGCCAACAAGCCGCACATGCCGGTTTGCGAATGCTCATTGCACAAAGATATGTTTAAAAAGGCAAAAAGCCAGCTTAAAGACTTCAAAAAGAGTAAACAGAGCTTCGCATCACTTGAGAAACAACAGAACTGGCATGGTAGCTAACCTAAAACATATGACGGAACATCCTCGCGTCGAATATATGTTTTTTTACCCCTACTCGTCTGGACTAAATTTACCTTGGTTCATAATGAATTCGAAATTCTTAGTGTCTCCAGCACATTTAGCCTGTAGGTAAGGAATAAGCCTAGGACGACAAAGGTATTGAGTTTGAATCTGACTAGGACCTGTTGTTCTTTCAAACGGTAAATACTCCGGTTCAAAAATATTTCGGACTTTTATTTGTCTGCTTATGTTTTGCTTATGAGTTGCACAATCTAAGGATCGCTTTTTTTGCTTAAAGCAATTTTCGCTGTAGTTGTTTTCAAGTGTTTTATATCATTTCGGTTTTTAATACGAAAATTGTTTTTAATACTTTTGGTAATTTTACCAACTCGAATTGTCAAAATTGATTTTTTTTTTCAATTTTTCTCTATTTTTGATCTCTAACGTGTTAACAAGTTTCGGCTTAAATTATATCGCCCTAGTGGCGTCTTACTGCGTCGTTCGGGGGTCAAAAACTTTTTTGTGTTCCTGGTATGCGTGTGCTCTGATGGGAAAATAACACCAAAATTTGCTATCAGTTTTGATTTTTTTTAACATGATGCTTGGTAAATATAAACTCAAACTCAACCAAGCATCCGGCGGATCTGGCCTAGAGTTGACAACTCTTTGAGACCGCTTTTTTATTGACAAAAACAATTTTTTTCCAAATTTTTCCGTTTGATTTTAATCATATTTGTATCGCAAGAGGTGCGAAGCTCAGCTTTGCAACTGTTTGAAAAAAAAACATCGCAAAAAAGTACATCTACAAAAACTTTATTTGTTTGGCTAGAACAATGTTCAAACATGTGAAAAACACTAGAAAGCGTTACATTAAAACACAGTTGTACATCTTTGAACGTTGCTTCTCATTGTTCAGAGTTTTATATATTGACCAGAGTAAGGAAGAAAAATCCAGATGGGTCTTGTAAGTGAGCTGAAAAGCAATCTACCGGGATTCGATTTACTTTCTTCACCTTCTCAGCGATGTCAATGTCGAAAATGAGAACGCAATCAAAGATCACTCCCAGCCCCTTTAAATGTTGGTGCCGATCACTTTCCGCCTGCTTGATATTGGGCTGGCCCATGCGCATTACGCTCGCTTTGCCTGTGTGAACGGAGGTTTCCACTTTTTGATCCACGCTACAATTGCACCAAGATCATTTTGATGTCGCATTTGATCCTCTTCAGAATCCAATATGCCGTATACTTATGCATCATCAGCAAGTATCAAAAAATGCTCGTTATCATATATGGTAGGTTATTTAAAAGCACGACGAATAAAAACACTGCCTTGAGGGTTTCTAATGGTCACTTGGGCTAGTTCTGTTTCCTTTTTGTTGACAACGACACTCTGAGTCCTTCCTGAAAGGAATTCTTCTACCGCTTTGTGTATTTTGCCTCGAATGCCGTAGTTCCAAAACTTTGCAAATAATCTTCGGTGGGGAACTTTATCGAATGCCTTTGCCGGGACCTTTATCGAGTGCAGATGCAGTCGATACAATTTCCCTTATGTAGTGCTGAGGCCCGGTCTTCCATGACCTTCAAAAGTTGCAGGGTGGTTGACCACCCTGCAAAAGCCTCGAGATCAAATGAGCCCGAGCAGCCCGGAATATTGATTTTACTTTTGACTCAAGCCATCAAATGCTTCATATGGCTTCGCAAGAAATTGTTAACTTTTAACTGAAAAATCCATTTTTGCGACTTGATAACGTTTGCTAACCTAACCGCTGACGTTATAACAACTGGTAAACAAATTTAACTTTTTCATGAAAATGAGCATATGCCAGCATGAAAAACTACTGGCAATTTAATTTGAAATTTTATCAGCATGTCAGCACGTAAAAAACATCGTACGTGCTGACTTCTGTGACAGTGTTGTAAAAGACTAAGTTTCAATACCTTCCTTATCACCATGTTAAAATACGACAATTACACAACTTTTCGCAGCAGGATTTTTGAGTTGTCAGTATAAATGCAACAAGAAGACGTATTCCTCAGGATGTTTAGACAGAGGTAACGTGAAGTGGAGCTTCGAACTTTTTGATATAGAAAACAAAAATGGGATCCAAGCAGTCGACCTATA